ACACCACTTCTGGGAGCCTCAGCTTCCTTATCTGTAAAGTTCAGACAGTCAGTTCCTTGCAGGCTACGGTGAGGATTGGATGAGATAGTGAACACGCCCAGGATGGGTCTGGCACCCAGGAATTGCCCAATAAGGGGTCACTGTTGTTATTGTTGCCATTATTAATAGAGTAAGAGATCAGAAGTGGATGGATTGTTGGGCTGGGAAGTTGGAGAAAGCTTTCTGGAAGAAAGGGAATTTGAAGGGGCGGGGGGCTAGACAGGTTGGGCTGCGGATAGATAAGAGGGAGATTGGCGTAAATATGTGTTGGGCTACCTTCTAAGTACAGTTTCCATGGGACAGGAAAAAATCACACCGTAAATAGGAAGACAGTTTGCCGTGATGTTATGGGAAAAGAGAAACGGTCCAAGCCGAAGCCAGCTGCCTATGACTCAGGCGTCCCTAACATCCTCTGCGAAAGGATGCGAGTCCCAACATCCGCAGAGTCACGTCTGTTGAATAAAACTCAGCACCTATTCGGGGATTTGGCACCAAAGACGGGTTTGTGCACCAAATGATTTATGTCTCTCATTTCTGCCGGGCACGCAGGCAGCGCTGCCCTGACTGTCGCTCCGCAGGTCACAGAGGAGGGCCTCAGTGGGAAAGCAGAGAGGTGGGTGGATAAAACACGCGGGGCTTGACGGTGATGAATCCTGGTTCGCTCTGGCAGGTAGACACTTTAAATCTCTCATCGCTGGTGGCAGCGGGAATGAGGGTGCAGAGAAGACCGCAGGGGTTGGGATCACACCCTCACCGATGTGTTTATTGAGCATTTAGTTATGGGCGCTGTGTGTTCCCTGCCTGTGACGTGTCCGGAAGGCACCGATAGTGCCTGTGTCTCAGGCAGGCTTTTGGAATCTGTTTGAGCCCTTCCCCTGGCCATGCCCAGGCATCGGTGCATAAACGCCCCGGCTTCCTTCCCTCCTCCTTCCCCCCCACCCCCGCACCGGGTGGCACAGTTCTGAGGTGTGTTCTCCACTCTGAGGGTCCCGGGTGGGATTGTCCCTAGGCTCCTCGGACAAATCCCTTCATAAACACCTGCGTTTCAGCTTCCTGTGGGGTGGTTGTGCGGGTGACATGAGATAATACCACCACCACGCGTGCCCTTTATCCATTGACTCCTGGGAAGCAGTCGTTTTGCTCAGGGCTTTAGCTGCCTTCCCTTACTGACGCTCACTCGGACTGGATGAGGCGAGGACTTGAGTTATCCCAACTTTTGTGACGAGGGAAGGGAAGCAGGAAAGGATACAGAACTCACCAACGAGCCAGGATCTGAGGTCTAACCCAAGGGCCTTTGTTCTGAGGGCCAACTTTTAATAATAAGACAAAAGGTTATAGTGTAGGGTCTAGCAAGAAAGCTGTTGGTGTTATCGTTGGTGTTATTGCTATTGGCATTATTAGCAAGTGCCCAGCATACAGTAGGTGCTCCATATTTGCTGAGTTAAAAAGGCAGTGAATGGACGGCTGTTATTTCCTTGAAATCATGAACATCCTTTTGTTATTGGTCCTCCTTCAGGCATCTAGGGGAGTCCCTGCCCTAGGATTGGTACAAGGCAAATGCTTGTTGAATGATTGAATGAATGAATGAATGAATGAATGAATACAAATGGATTTTTCTTAGTTACCGGTAGTTCCCTGGTTCTATGAAAATCATTTTAATTGAAATGCATCATTTATTTCACCCTGACAAAGTCCCGGAAAGGAAATAGCCTTAAAATCCCTAACAGTATTTATCTCTAGGTGTTGGAATAATAAAATACTTTAGCTTCGTGCCTTATTATTCTTTGTGATGGACCTGGATTACTTAACTGGAAATAAATTATCTGTTGGGGGGGAAAATCAGTCTCAAAGTATAAATGGGTCCCAAAGCAGTGGGGTGCGATCCTGACGCATACGTAGAAGCTGATCTCATTTGAGTGGCTTCAGTCTCGGGAGCAGGGTGTGAGCTGACTTTGGTGTCACCGCTCACATGGCTCTTTCACACCGTCTTCCGGAGGCTCACACCCGTCTAGTGACGAAGGTGGGCTAAGGTTAGCAGCCTCGTCTCACAAACCTTGGGATCTGAGAGCTGAAGAGGTTCAGCTCTGCTCAGGGCGGAGCTAGATTGGAACCCAGAGCATCTGACTTCAGTTCAGCCCAGTGGCCTCTGCACTCTGTCCTGGGAGGCGCTCATGGAACAAGGGGGGCGGAGGGTGGACCAGGGACTCATGGGACAGCTGTCTCTGAGGATCTGCAAGACCCTTTTATAGAGGGAGAGCCTGGCTGGGACTCTCTGAGTTGGACAGCCTGGGTTGGATCCCACTTCTGTCACTCACTGTCTGGACACAGTACGGCACTCCTCGGCCTCGATTTTCTCATCTGTAAAGCTGGTCCAGCGTCTGCCTTGCGGGGTTGCTGGGAGGGCATCACACCTGTGCTCTCTGTGCCAGGCTTCCGTTTCTTCCAGCCCATGTGGATGCTCATTGGTGCCCGTCAGTTACTGTGCCCGCCCATGTGTATTAGTCCATTTCTGCCAAGTAACAAACACCGCAGAATTGCACTGGCTTGCTTGAGGTTGTATTGACTTTCTTGCCCGTGGTTCCGTGGGTCAGTTGTGGTTTGGCGGGTCTTCGTTGGCCTGGGCTGGCATAGGCTGGACTTCAGGGTGGGTTCAGATCTGTCCCCCTGTCACGCATCAGTCTGGGGTCCAGAGTGGAAGGCAGCAGCGGACAGGGGCTAGGGAGACATCTGGCGTCATGGCCCATCGTAGGAGAGCGAGGGAAGGGACCTGGGACCCACACATTGGCACCTCCCCCTTCCATTGGCTAAGTAAATCCAGAATCCAGGGGGACAGAGAAATCACCACCAGTTGTGGGAAGTGCTGCAAAGTCCATGACAAAGGGGATGGAGTGAGGAGGTAGGAGAGTGATCCAGCCTCAGCTTGTGCATGTAGGTGAAGCAGGGAAAGCAAGAGGCATAGTGGCTGGGAGAGGCTTGGACTGTTTTTTCAGTGACAAGGCCTTACTTTTCGTAGCCGTGTGCTGGGTAAAGTCTTGCCCAGGAGGTGAATGTCACAGGAAGGTCACGGTCTGCGATTCTCCTGGGGAGCACACTGTTGATTACTTAGCTTAGCAGGAGGTTTGGAAATTGGGAAATGTGAGTCCTCCAACATTGTCCTTCCTTCTCAAGATCGTCTGGCTCTCCCGAGTCCATCTCTTTTCCATATGAACTTTGGGATAAGACTGTCAGTACCCCATCTAATTTAAATACGTGATTCACACTGTCATTAAAAGATTCAGTCAGTCACCATTGGCATCTAAGTTTGAAAGAAGTTTGAAATATCTGACAAATATTTGTTAATATTGTGGAAGGCGCTGTGTGATGAAAGTACGGGAGTTAACTAGGAAAAGAGGGTGAGTGAGGGAGCCTCCCAGGATGAGGAGATGGCGTGTGCAAAGGACCTGGGGCAGAAGAGCCATGGCAGGTTCCAGGATCTGAAAGAAGGTCATGTGTCTGCAGCAGTCAGCCCAGGTGGACAAGCAGAAGCCAGACACGTGGGCAAGAGTCAGACCTTGTTCAGTGATTTGGGTTTTTATGCAAAAGCACTAAGAAGCCACTGGAAAATGTTAAGCTGGGGGTGGGAAGGTGGGGAATGACAGTCAAATTGGTGTTTTTAATTTTTCATTCTGCTTATCATCCAGTTATAAGGTGTGAACCTTGTTTGGATCTGGATTTTTAAAAACGAGTGTTAAATTTTTTAACATTCATGAGACTATTAGAAATTTGAACATTGAGTATCTGGTGAATTGAGGAACTACCTTTTTAGGTATGACAGTGGTACTGCAGTTATATTTTTTTTATAAAAGACCTTATCTTAGCCATACATGGTGTACTATATATGAGTAAAATAATAAGATGGCTGGAATTTTTTTTGAAATAATAATGTTGGGAGGGAGGATTAGGGTATACGGATGAGGTTGGATAGATTATGAATTGATGGTGATTGGGGCTGGGTGGTGGGTACATGGGATTCTCGGTACTCTTCTTTATTTTTGTGTTTACAAACATCTCCATAGTAAAACATACATAAAGAAAAAAGTTATTCTCACTTCCGTGTGGGGGACCAGCTTTCCGAAGAAATCAGTTAGGCAGCTGGAGCGGCCCCAGTGAGGATGATGGAGGGATGGTGGTTTGGTCCAGGGCTGTGCCAGTGGAGACTGAGAGAGGGAGATGGGCTGAGAGATCCTTAGGGAATTAGGGAGACAGGGCGTGGGGATGGATTGGATACAGGGGTGACGGAGATGGCGGGTCAGGAGTGTCCCTGTGTCTGGCCCCAGATGGAAGAGCCGGGGATCTGAGGTGGGGCTCACTGGAGGAGGACCCCGCAGGTCCCTTCGCTCATCTTGTTCCCACAGCCCCGCCTCGACTTCCCATCCATCCTGCGAATCGGAAGCGGTTCCCTTATGCAACACCTTTCATCCCAGACTTCCCGCACTCTGCAGGCTCAGCGGTTAATTAAGCTTCGATATGCACGCATTAATTAAAATCCTCTCTCGGGTTCGGAGGGGCTGAAATGTGGATCTTCATCTCTATCTCCCTCCTTGCTGGGGCTGGTTCCCTTTGCTGGGGACACCTCTGCTCTCCTGTGGGCACACAGCTATCTGTCTGTCTGTCTGTCTGTCTGTGGCACCTGCCAGCACCCTTTCATTTCTTGTTTAGGAGCCTGGGTCTAGGGAAGTTAATGACTTGTAAATTGCTCTGCACTGTAGAGCTAGAAATAGAACGCAAGATGATGATTCCGGAGCCCTCGCGCGCACTGAGCGATGGCAGTGTCAGCCCGAGCGTGGCTTGCTGCGATGCGGCCGCCTGGCTGTGTCCCTGCACGTGCCTGGGCAGCCCCCCGTGTGGGGAGAACGCTCCCGAGACGCTGCTCTGCCCAGGCCCCTGGATGACTCTTGTCCCTTTCTCCCTGCCCCCTGCAGGTCGTCTTCTGGTGCGTGTGACACCTGAGACATGAGATCGTCAGCCTGCAGGCTCTCCAGTTTTTCGAGAGACACACTATGGAATCGGTGAGTGGTCTCAGCCCCCCTGCCGGAGGGCCCGGCCTGGGGAGTGTGGAGGGATTCTTTGGGGGGCGGGGGGCGTTGAAGTGCACAGTGTGACCCAACTCAAGCCCTTGGATGTGAGTATCACGGTGAACAGATTGCTGGGGGGGTACTTGTCTACCTGTCGACTTACCCAAGTGCCTCGGGTCACCTGACCTGTCTCCTTTATGCAGAAGGAAAGGTGGGAGGCGGTGGTACCAGAATGAAGTCAGAACTAGGAGCAGCCAGGACCCAGCCAACAATAATGGGCACTCTTCTAGCCGAGTGGCTTTTCAGAAATATTCCCTCCTCAGTCCACCCAGCGAGCCCACCAGGTCTGAGTGATGCCGTTCATTTTCACAGATAAAGAACGTGCCCAGCTGGATCTGAAGTCAGTTTGTCCTGACTCCAGATCTCCAGCCTTTTCCCTCGATGCCAGGCTGCCTCTTGGTAGAAGTATGAATCGCCCCATTTTGCAGCTGGGAATACTGAGTGTAGGGACACATGATGGAGTCTAAGGACTCTGACCTCAGTGGGTGGAGGTCTGGGTTAGAAGAAGAAAAAAATAACACTGGACAGGAAGATCCATGAACACTAGGCAGAGGAAGTGCACAGAGCCTGAGAGGGTCTTAAGGTCACCAGGGGACCCCACACAGGGTTGAGGTGCTGTGGCTGGTCTTCCCCGGGAGTCAGTGGGGGGTAGAAAGAGTATGGGTGCTGGAGGGGGCTCTGCCACCAACATTCCGTCTGACCTCAGGTAAGTCGCTAACCTTCTCTGCACCTTCTGTTTTCTTATCTATGAAAGGCGGTGATTTTTATTTTTCAGGTTTTGTATGCATAAAAAAGGTATACAGCATAGCATCTTCTATAAAGTAGGCACATAAAGTATTGTAATTATTCAAGTTTTAGGAGAAAAGCAATTTTTAAGGATAATTAGCCCAGCAGAAGTGCCCAGAATGGATGGGAGAGGTGAGTGGCCGGAGGGAGGGAGACCATCCTGAGAGGCTGTGACAGGGGACTGTTCCCACCTTCCAGGATGAATGAACTGCTTATCTTCCGAGATTGGCGTCTACAGGGTTACCTGGAGTCATGTCGTATTTAGTTTTGTTTTTTAAATCAAGAGTCCAACACAAAGGTGACATTGATCTCGCAGGTGTCTCTTTTGGGGACGTGAATTATAATTGCAGTAACTCAGTGCATGACTCAGGATGAGGTTTTGCTCTGAATGGTGTAAAATCTAAAAGAACATTGACTTAAAGAAGATACAGGTCTATTTCTCTCTTACCTAAACATGCAGACACAAGTAGTGCAGGGGAAGGGGGGGCACCGGAGGTTCCGGGTGCCGGTTACATGGTGTAGAAGTTAATTCCTTGAATGGGATACTTATGACATAGACCATTTTATGTACAGTAAGTCCTCACGTACCATCATCTTTGAGTTCTGCAACTTTAAGCAAAACAACATAAAACAAAACCAGTTTCACCATAAGCTCATTGATGCAAATAAGGGTCAAGTTCCGGCAGCATCTCATTGATGTCCTAACAAAATGCCGTTAACCGAGGACCTACTATCAATATATATATTGATATACAATACGAATACAGCAAACCCACACTTTCTTAACTATGACAAAAAGCCCAATACCTTTATCTCAGATGTTTCTTTCTTTGTTGGCTCATCCCTATAACATAGGTCAAGCAATTGCTTATTACTTTACTTATGTGCGAGGAGCTGGGCTAGGGTGCTTGGCACACATGATGCCCGCAGCAGATGGGCCTTGTCCTCAGGGGACTTTCTGTCTAGAGGAAAAGGAAAGATGTCAATCATACAGATTGACAGCCACTGGCCGAGGCTCCGTGTGGGACGCCCTGGGGCACGTAGATCCAGCCAGGCGAGTAACTTCGATTTGCATCTCCCCCCACTCCGTGATGGGAGAAGAGGTGCAGCGCCAGTGGGTAAGACTGTAGGCACATGATGGCTCCTTCCCTCTGGTCTCTGTTAACCGGCCCAGGGAAGGGGTCAGCTTCTCCTTCCCTTGTTTGTCACTGTGACAGACCCCAGCCTCCACCTGGCGTCCCGGGAGCACCAGTGCTGGAGCTCGGAGCTCCAAGCTGAGAAGGGGAACCCACAGGAGCAGACAGAGACTTGCTCCACCATCAAGGCCAAGTCCAGGGGCCTCTTGCGTTGTTAGGCTATTAAAATAAGTGCATGAATGAATGAATGGTTGACGGAATGAATGAAGGAATAAAATCACACCCACAACCATGCAGTTGTCATCCCTGGGGAAGCTCAAGGTGTTTCCTTTTTTCACCCAAAATGCTACCAGGCCCAGGAGAGGCGGGGGATGAGCCGCAAACGGAAACGGAATTGAATTCTGAGCCAGCAGGAGAATTCAGTTGGCCTTATTTTTAGGGATTTTCTCTGTAGGTAGAAACGAACTGACCTAAACTTTAGACGTGCCCACACCAAGCCCAGGAGCAACCCTTGTGACTGCCCCCGCCCCCCACCCCTCCACTGCCTTTGCCTTTCCCAAGGTCAAGGCGGACGCCCTGTCATTAGTGTGCCGCCAGCTGTCAGCCAAATTGAATTTCCCTGAGCACAGCTGATGTCCCTCTTTGGCCGCAGGACAGGGGTCAGGCAGGGAGTGAGCACCGCACATGGACGGGAAATGTGTCCCTTGCACTGACCTCTGAACTCCGAGCTGCGTTTCCGACATTGTTGGGAGGGCTGGGTGGGAAGCCTGTGACTTCTGGATGTACTAGTAGAAGGAAAAGAAACGTGTTTTAGAAAAAACACTAATATTCCAGTTCTACCGAGAACGCACATTCACTGTAATTGAGGCTGTTTGAAATCTAGCCGTAATTCCAGGGCATTGGCCATTCCTCTGTCCGATGCGGAGAGGAAGACGCTTCTGCCCGGACAGATTGGGAAAGTGTGGTGATTCGGTTTGTTTCCTGCCGGCCTTCCCTCCCTCCCTTAGCCTTCAACGTGTGTGGAGCAGCGCCCATGTGCCACACCCTGGACGCCAGGAAAACAGATGAGTGAGGCTCATTACAAAGCCTTCCTGAGCTTCTCTCCTTTCATTTCATTTTATTTTTTATTGTTTAAAATGTATTTTTGTTGATTTCAGAGAGGAAGGGAGAGGGAGAGAGAGAGAGATAGAAACATTAATGATGAGAATCATGGATCGGTTGCCTCCTGCACGCCCTCCACTGGGGATCGAGCTCACAACCTGGGCATGTGCCTTGATGGGGAATCAAACCGTGACCTCCTGGTTCATAGGCCAAAGCTCAACCACTGAGCCACGCCGGCTGGACTCTCCTTTCATTTTAAAACGTTTATTCTACAAATGTGTATTGAGCACCTAATTCGCTCCAGTCTCTTAGTAGAGACCAAAGACAGTCCCTCCTCCTGCCGAGTTGATACGTTATTAATTGTTTCGCTCGCTCACGCAGCAAACACTTTCTGGGCACCTGCCGTGAGCCAGGGAGGGACCAGCTGCTGGGATGCCGAGATGAACAGAGCGTAGCCTCTGTTTCAATGGGGCTGAAGGATGAGACAATATTGTGCTTGTCTCCTAGGGCCCCAGGAACTAAGTAGCACGGACTCAGTGGCTTAATCGAAATGTATTGTCTCGTAATTCGGAGGCTGGGAGTCAGGTTCTGCTGTTTTCCCATCGAAGAGATGAGCTCATGGGGGTTGGAGAGCTGTAGGAGGCCCGTGGCTGGGAACTGGTAGGAGTGAGATTCAGTTGCAGGGAGTCTGGTCCTGGAGCCTTGAATTCCCACTGTCCTCACCTGTTACGATAACGTCCCTAGGCCCTAAGGAAAGCCTTTTAAGATAAGCCCCCCCCCCGGCCCCCAAATCTCAAAGCTTTGGGATTATTCTACAATCCACTCGGCTTCCAGGAGGCATTTGACCCAGCTGACGGTTTCTCCCTCTGGCAGCCCACCCGGATTTCTCCTTGGGACTCTGCCCTCTCTCTCGGTCTCAGAGTTGGGTGCCCCTCGCCCCAGACAACTCCAGATGTTGTTGAAGACCCTCTGTAGGCTGACTGCTTCCAGATCCGACCTCCAGCTACACCTGCCCTCTGAGTTCCAGCCTCAGTGTCCCACATGCCTAATTATACTCCATCTGGAAGTCCAGCAGGCGGCTCCAGCTTAGACACCCACCGTGGGTTTTCTCCCAACATCTCCTTCATGAGACGCTAGGCCTCTGCTGGAAGCCATCCGTGTCCCAGCGCCGCTGCCGCCTCACTTCCAATGAAGCCCAGATTCCTCACTGCGGCCTGCGAGGGCCAGCGTGACCCAGCCCTGCTCCCTTGTCTGCCCGCCCCGTTCCCTCCCAGGCGTCAGCCACTGGCCTCTTCCTGGCCTCGGGACTCTGCCTCCTGTTGCTTTCTGCCTGCACCTCCTGTCCCCCTACCCCCTGCTCCCCACAGGAGCGACCCCTTCTCATGTAGTCCCAGCCCCAGTTTCCTCAGGGACCTTCCCTCCCCACCCCATCGCCTCCGTGGGCCGCTTCCTAGCCCTCGTGACAGTCTGGAATCATTTGTGTGTTCACTTGGGTTTGTCTATGCCCTGCCCCCGCGCCCCCCCCGCCCCCCCCCCGCCCCCCCCGACCACAAGCTCCCAACAGACAGTGGTGGTAACTGCTTGTCCACTAACATTACCCTGGAGCCTGGCCCAGAGCCTGGCATGTAGTGGATGTTCAGTAACTACATGTGATCGTTGAAATCAAATCAGTGGCCCCTGCTAAATCAATCATGAACATAAAAGGCCAATTCCAGGCCTGTTACTTGTACAAGAATCCTTTTTCAAGCAAGGCGGGACTGAGGCGGGCGTGCAGGTGACTGAGAATTGGGTGGAAATGAATAAACAAAAACAAACTCATTGTACAGACCACCAGATGGTGGGTACCGGAGGGGAAGGGGGACGGGGAGAGGGCAGAATGGGGAAAGGGGTCAGATGTATGGCGATGGCGGG